CTGTACAACAGTAGCCGGCTACACGTACGTCAAGCATGCGCCGCCGGAGTTTGACGCGCAGATCTCCTGCACCATGACCTCTTAGGGTGTAGACATACAGTAAATAGAGTATGCACGGAAGGACGATCTGTTGCCTTTTCCGGGCGGTCGGTTCTGGCATGTTTGTCAACAAGGAAAATGCTTGTGGCTTTGCTTGGGCTGACATGACTCTGGCAAGCGATGCTCATTCATTCGTCTTCTGTCCGAAACGGCAGAGGACGGACGTCCGCAAACTACCCGTGGAGGCCGGCTTCCCAGAATCAGCTACCATGCTCGAAAGGCAGAGTGACTAAGGTTGTCGCTGCCGGGAGAGCTCCTTCTCACGCCTAGAAAAAGAAAATTGTGGAATTGGAGAGCTGTGGCTCAACAAGTCTCAAGCAGTGGACATCGGCGGCGGGCTCCGCCGGGCAGTTTTGGGCTCCCTCGCCGGCCTGTGCTGATCATTTGCGGACAGTCTAAGTAGCCCGAAGCGACGGGCTCGCTTCCAACGCATCCTTTCTCAGAGGGCGCTCAGACCATCCGTGGTGGAAAACGGCTTTGAATGCTAGTGGGCACCTTGAATGCTCCCAAGTGGTTCTCTCTGCTTGGAGAAATTGAAAGGACAAGGCGATCCTGAACTGATTTGGGACAGGGTGGAGGTCATCCCAGAACGCATCCAGCCCAAGCTGGACTGGACTCAGCCCAAATTGGGCCTGTCAGAGACGCTTCATGACGCCAACGGAGGGTCCTGGTGCCCACTGTTGACTTGGCCGTGAGCCCCAGGCTTGACCGAAATGATCTCGGTTCTTAAAGGCGTTCGCGGTTACGGGAGTTTAGATTGCGAGCGTTGGCGGGCCTTTTCCTGCTTTGGTGGCTGCACTCATGACGTTCTCCATCCCTTGTCCTATTACAGCAAATTTCTTGAAAGCCCTCAAAAGTTTGGGCTGATATGAAGGTTCCTGATTGGGCCGTACTCTCGAATTTTAGGTTGTCAAACACGAGGCAGTGTTGCAACAGACTGGAACAAATAGCGACCTGGGGTGGACATCGTCAAAAGCCGGTGTTTGGTACCGATAAAAGTAGCTTGCGAAAGGTAACAGGGATAGAGCACTGGGCCACCTTGGGGTATTCAGGCAAGGTATCACACCACTCCGTTTCAACCGTAGCTGACAAAGGCCATATTATGCAGGAAGCGACGCCGTCCCAAGCTCTTCTGAGCGTGTCATCTCAGCTGGTGAATGCCCGTCGGAGAATTTCTGCGTCACCTTGGTGGTCTGCAGGCTGGGCCCCCGATTTGCGCACAAGCGAAGCGGGAATGCAGGACGCCTGCATCCAGGCCATGCCTTTTACGGTTGTTGGTTTGTGCTCGCTCGTCCAAAGCAACCAGGTTTCCTGTCGTTTCGGGGGCTTTTGCTATCGACCCTTGGACGCAGTGTAGTGCCCCATTGGTCTGCAAACAGGGATTGTCCCTGGCGTTGTCCAAGGAAACGCTCCGACTTGAAGTTCGCTCTCCCCAGACAGCGCGAATGTTATACTGAACAAGGATTTTGCCAGAATGCCTAGCCTGCACCGAAGATGCCATGCAGCTAAAGGTGCAGCTAGGGGTTTCTTCGTTGTGGCTGTTATATTGTGGTCTGTGGCACTGGGTAGAATTGCGATCAAACCGAAAGGTGCAGTCTGCAGTCTACGACCAGAGCTCTCCCACCTAGTGTTTCGCATTTTGTGGCTAATAAATTCCAACGCCCTCCTCTTTGATTGCGACCGTCGTTGTTTCGCCCGTCCATCAGTTGTTTAGTGCGAACGGGAGCCAAGAAGCCATAGGCGACGGTCAGAGTTTGTTGTCAAGGTGTAGGGATGCACGGACGAAGTAATTACCGCTTTGGCAATGTTGCGTCTTAGAATGGGAGCTGGTGTCAGGGTGAATACTCGTACTTGAAGCCTTTTACGGGTGGTGGCATCGTTCGTCTGTTGGCCCCTGTCAGCATTGCCATTCCCACAACTAGCGAGATAACAAGCAAATCAAGTGCTGATTATTGTTGGTTTTGCATACGTTTGTCACGGCTCAAAAAGAACCATTGTCTGGGGGGGTTCATGTAGTGTATTTTTTGAGGATAATGATGGTAGGTATGGTGAATCATAGAGCACTTCGGAAGGCCACCTGAATTCTTGCTCCGATGTCGTACCCAAGACGTCAAAAGTGGAAAAGATTTATGATCGACATGAAAAAGCGCGTGGCTGCAAGGGGAGGCATGTTCGTTCACTACTGAGGGCGCATGGCAAGCACGTTTGCGGGCGGCGGCAACGGCAACGTGGTTTTTTTGGCGCAGGGATGGCAGGTCTGGTGGGCTGGTGGGCTGGTGGGGAGCCCCATTCCTCCAACGGCTAGTTAAAACTTACAACGGGGAAGTACCTGGGTGATCATGACGGTACAATCCCAAGCTGGCTTTTCGTAGGAAGAGGGTCGTGATGTCTAGGTAAAAGACCAAGGAGCGTTATTGCTCTGGATCTCGGGGGTCGTGCTAGGCTCCAAACTGTTCCCTCTAGGCATGGAAGATCCCACCCTTGCCAGGCATGGTGGGCAGACGGTAGGCGGAGGGTATCTGTAGCACAGCCGCCATAAGCCCGTAGGCTGTTCCCCCGATGGACACCCGGGTCTCCAAAATCCACACTACTACTAGAAGCTCTCACCTAGATTTTCCTTGTTACTTGTGCTACCAGAGTGGCATGGAGACAAGGTTCAGCGGTGCTGAGCAGTTGGTGTCCACAGCCGACAATCGACACACCCTGACAGGGGAGGAGGAGGGGAATTCGTAGTAGGGGTAACATTGCCACGAGGCAAAAGACGCAATCGGATGATGATCAGTTGTCGGAGTCATTTAGCACAGTGTCATGTACATGTATGAGAACTCTAAAGCAGAGGCCGTCTAGAAGTCTTTCAACGGAATTTTGGCTCCTTGATTATTCAATGTGTGTTTCCCGTAACGCAGCATTGTCCGACTCCGCAGACAGCCGTCGCTTGAGGATCGCGAGAGACGAAAAGGAAAGGAAGGGCTTGCCGAGAGCCGAGTAGACAGCTTCACTGGAAAAGCAAAGAAGGGCGCAGGGCTTCTCGAAGCAGTCAGATCTGGAGACGGATCTGAGATGAAAAGGGGGGAGGATGAATGAAAGGATGACAACTGTGGCTGCGAGTGGCATGGATGGTTGGTGGAATGGCTGTGTTGCAGCGTGGATGAGAAGATTTGGAGGCGTGTAAAAAGATACGGGCAGCACTAGGGTAGGTACTCCGGTGTGTACCAGTCAAAAGAAACGTCCCTACTACTAGGCACAGCTAGGTGGTTTTTATGCTACGTAAAAACCCTGTCTTGTATACGAGGTCGAAGGCGTGTCCAGTTGTAGGAATCCGGACTTTTGGCACACGGACTACACCCCAAAGGTGGTACAGCACGTCGCAGCAGATCTTATTCCGGCCTGATCCCTGCACCTTTCCTTCTTTTCCGCCCTTTGTCCTTTTTGCCCTCTCTCTCGCTCGTTTCCTCGACCCAGAGACCCAGAGTGAGAGAGGCGCTGAAAGCCCATATCCTACTCGCCCTACTCCGTACTCCCTTGCTCCCTGCCTCGCCTGCTCCCTTGTTCCAACTCTCCATGCTGCTCACCGGTCTACCTTACTCAACTCGGCAAGACTCCATTCTTGTAACTTTTGGACTGCCCCCTCCCGGACTGTGACTACTATTTCCCTTTGGGAAACTCGCACGCTGCTCCTCTAAAGCGTCTCCCTGCTGAGCCACCATTTTGTTATTCTCTCAATTCAAAGCATGTCTGGCATAGCTGGCCGTTTCTGGTCCGACTAAAATGTTAGTTAGTTGCCCTCGAGAACAGGAATACCATCACTGCACCATCCAATACCAGTCTTTCTACCGAACCACCCAATAACCAGTCCTTCTACGCTTCTCCCACACCTCTGTCTTCCCCATCTTGCTCGAGTCCGCCTCATTTCCCAAACCCTTCCATGCCTGGCTTTTCTACAATCTATTCGTCCTCTCAGTCCCGCCTCTCCCACTTTGATACGCCACTCCATCCTCCCCAGGACAGATCCCGGTTCGTCACCTCAACCTTTCTCTAGCCTCCTCCCTCGTCTCCCCCCCAGAGGGCCCTCGATCCGCTCTGTGCCCTCTCGCAACACACCCGCACGACCTACCCACCGAAAAAGCTCGCATCCGGCCCTATCACCAGCCCAAAACGGCCGTCTCTTTCATTCTTGTGCATCAGAGAATCCCTATCCTGTCGCTTTCGAACGGACCCTTACCTCGGACTGACCTCACCCCTTCACATCGCTTAACAAGCTGTTATTTCTCCGGTCCACTCAGTCTCTGCTCGTTCACCGTTTGGATTCAGGTACAGACCCTGTTCTGATTTTTCGGACCCTTTGCACTGTTGTATTATACCTCTGTCTGGTCTGGTCTGGTCTGGTCCCTGCTGCGGTCGGTTGAGCAAAGATCCCACTCTCAAACTCTCTCTCTGCTCCCGCACACTCGTAACCCTCTTGTCTATTCCCAGAGTCTACGAGTAGTCTGGCCTCTGAGACCAGTATCCATTCTCGCCAACCAATTTACTCGAGTCGACAGGGCTCTTGTCACTCTGGGGGTTCTCGCGAAAAGCCCCAATTTCAACACCCTGCTAGACCGGGTCCATCCACACCTTCCACCCCATAACTACTCGCTCATCTTCACTGTACGAGGAACACAATCTGGACGCCTCTGATGCAGAAGGTGCCACTGTTACCAACCTACGATTTTGTGGCTGAACGTCACTGACGGTTGCCTCGATCAACTCTATTCTCTGAGTATTATACAACCTCCGACCCCCCTCTCCACAAGGGTGTGCACCAAACCAGAAAGCACGAGCACTTGCAGTCGTCTCCTTGTCCTGCATGTCCGCCAGCATACCACTCTGTTGCTCGAACAGACCACTCGACAACCGCCTCCATGTTATTATCACTGGCTCCTCCTAACCATATGCAGCAGAACGACGTAAAACCCCCCCATGACTATCCAATCTACCCTAAACCGACACCTTCGCGATATTCACCTCCACCGTCCCCTCGCAACTTACCTCCATTCTTAGAGGACTCGAGGATGAACAACTCTCACCGAGGGCTTCCCCCGTTACCTACTGGTCTCCCTGGGGCACTCAGTCTTCCTCCTCCAGAACGGGGACATTCTACCGCTCCTCCACTTGGACATCTCCCGGCTCCGCCTTCACAATGGGCAGGCCAGGATGAGTCGATGCGAAGCTGGCTCCATGCGAAGGCTGAGGAAGATCGCCGGAAGCAAGAGGAGGAGAGGACGCGGCAGGAAGGTCTACGACTCGACCAGAGACGCATTGAGCAGGATATGCTGCGGGAGTCTTTGCAAGGAGGGATCCCTCCGCCTATGGTTCCTCTGATTTTCGCGGGTATTGGTGGTGGGAGTCTTCCTGCTCACACCTTGGAGTGGGCGCAACAGTATCTCGCAAGCTTGACGATTCAGAACCAACAACAGCAGCAACAGATTCAAGCTCAGCAGCAGCAACTCCACCAGCAGCAACTACAGCAACAACAACAGCAGCAGCAGCAGCAGCAAATGTCGCCAGACATCCACCGAGATCGAATGATTCAGTCAAATCCCTACGCAGCTCATCAACCTCTACAAGCACCACCACCACTCTCACAAGCCCCAGCCACTGTACAAGCAAGCCAAAGTCGCAGTTCTATATCTGGGCCAGTAACAGCTACTCCTACCGCACTTTCACGTCTCAATACGACCGATTTTGTCCCCGGTTCGTTAACCAGCCAGCCAAACCGACCACCAGTCCATCAAATGCCACAAGCGCAGACTCCTGCAGCGGAGCAACCGTCTGGCCCGGGTTTGTTTTTCCATCACTGGACACCACCCAACCCGACCTCTTCCTCGGCTGGAAACCAGCCGCCGACGCCCTCAGGCAAGAGCACACACGGATCGCCATTTTCACAGCACGCAGGATCACATCTACGCTCAGAGTACCAGAACTCGCCGAAGAAACGGAAGACGGCGAGTGGGCATGCAGTACCCGTGCCCCCTACTTCTCAGCCATCGGATCCATCGCAGCCCAGGTCGTCCCGGTCGTCCAGAGAACGAGAAATGAGCCCGGGTCATCGAAACAGGGCTACGCAGCATTCGCGCCAGGACAGTGACGCATCGTCGCGCGACCAGGAACTGGGCGCACGCAACATTGCTCGGCCGAGTAGTCGTCAACAGCGCAGGGATGAGCTCAGCGGCGGAGCGGGGTCCAGCCCAAGGAGGAAATTGACAGGCTCCTCTACCAGTGGCTCGAGCGAGGATAGTAATCCTGTTCGGTATGAGGTGTTAAAATCTGAAACGCGGTAATAACACGAGCCACTTGGCAGGGCTCGGAGATGAAGTGAGCGATTCGGACACAGCATTGTCGACATGGCACTTCTAAGGTGGCGGCGGTATTTTCGCGGGCTTGACGATCCCAGTTGAGATCCCAAGCACGCACGCACGCCGTCAAGCTCTAATTATGATTGCGCGATGTTATTTGCGCGACATTCACATCCCGGTACTACGCTGGTAGCAGCAATATCAAGAGGATCAGTTTGAGAATGTGTCTTGGACTTCCCAGCATTGGCGGGGTTGGCGACGAGATCTACGAGTACACATCCGCCAGTTCCTCGCACGCTGGTACAAGTGCATCGATCAGACCACACACTCATGAGCCGCTCCCAGGCAACCACCAAATAGCTCACGCCATGTTACGAATCGTCATTTCCATGATTCCTGACCTCCTTCATCTTAAGTTTGGGACCTTGCTCACAGGCCATGACGGCGTAGCTGACGGTTTAATGTCGGTTAAGGCGCTTCGTGGCGCTGGACGGGATATGAGTACAGATTTAGTGGAGACTGGAGTTCGATTTGGCGAAGCCAAATGTGGGAAGAAGCTACCCAAAGCGGGCGAGGCAGGGTGGAGAGGAGTGCCCAAGGAAGCTTGCTGGCTCGTTAAGAGAGAATGATGGGCATGGCATAAGCGAAAGCAGGCGATACGGGGGAGATGGAATGTGTTTCGAGGAAATGGCGCATCCTTTCGGAAGTTGCACTGGTGGCGATATGATTGCGAGTTGATCGTGGGCACCGTGGGCAGATTGGCTGATGCGAAGGAGTTATCAAGGCTGAAACTGAACCGAATATGTCAGTTTGGTGGCATGGCATTTTGGGGGCACGGAACGGCCTTGGAGGCTCCACTTGAGATTGCGGTGATCAGCCACATGGAGATGGGCTGCCACGACGCACAGACAGCCACCATGACGGATTGGGCGACTTGAAACACGACATGTTGACGATTTTGATGACACCAGATAGAACAGGCAGGTAATTTGGGCGGGATGTGTCTAGACTTTGACGTTAGTGGGATTGGATCACCCAAGCTGCTACAAGGACAAGTACCGAGTACCTAGTGCCCGGTCCTGTGATTATTGCGTGTCGGGCCGTATTTTGAAAATGGATACAGGATGTTCAGGATGTAAGGTGGATACAGAGGGAGGGACTGTGGTCAATTTGAGCCAGAGTTGGCCAGAGCCGGCCAGAGCTCTGGCGTTGGGAAGGGTTACAGGAAGCGGGATATAGATGGGACATAGAGGGAAATTCAACCAACTGCTTGGGAATGTGTTATGACAATAAAATGAATCGAATATGATGAAACCAAGATGAACCAGGCGAGGGCAAAGAGGGTAATGGAGTGACAGTGTTGTGCCTCAGCTGGCTGAAACATGGTCAGTGGACGTTTCACATTATTTGAGGGAGAGTGGCTTGTGGCTTGTAAACAACAACAAAATAAACAAACCAAGGCAAACAATTGAGCTCTGACGTGTATTGGTACTTTTGGTGCCACGGGTGCCCCTCTTGGGGGAGGCTTAAGCAAGGCGTGGCAGAGCATGGCAAGTCACTAGGCACCCAGCAGCTCCAGGTGACTAAGTCCCTTAGGGCAGGACACCAAGGGTAGCAACTTCGGAGTCCGGGAAGCCAACTCGTTTCAGGTTGCGAGCTGCCAATTTACTAGGGGGGGCCAAGAGGGCCCAAGGACCACAGCCACGGATGCCCACACGAGTATCCATTAGGTACCTCGTACTCATTAGGTAGGTACTCGTAGGTAGCAGGTGCCGAGAGCACGCACTGTTGCACTCTGCGAATTTCCACCTGCAACATGTCAGTTACCGTTGCTCGAACATCTCTCGTATCTGACCTTCACCTTGACCTCTTTTATGTTGATGAGATACAGTATGTCGACAACATATAAGAATGGCTATCTAGGCAGACTCAATAATGGCAAGCGACGTATGTGCTCATCTCTCTCCTCGGTACTCAGTACATAGATTCGTCTACTAGTAATAGCAATTCAGCTGGGCCACATGTCATAGCACATAGTCCGTCTGCGCACATATCGCAGGCAAACAAGCCCTCTCATGTGCCACCTCAATGTCATGCTTCTCTCTTTCGCCCTCGCTTCCTTTTTCCTTCTCTTCATTGTTCACCGCCTGGTGACACTGCAGTTGTAGCACCATCCATGTTCGCCGAGTTTTTGAACACGAGGAAAACTCAAACCAAGCCAACTCGACCAGTCGGTGATGCCGAGCTGAAACCTTTGTTTCCCCTCATGCCATCATTGCACTTGGTGACCAGCTGAACCCGACCATGCCCTTGCCTCTATACTGGTTGACGTTGGTAATTGAGTTTCCGACTTGACTAAAGAACCCATCAAGATCCATGACCACCTGAGGGAATTGATAGCCAAAAGTATCCCTTCCCTGTTGGTGATTACTGACTTTGTGGGGAAGGGAAAGGCTCGCCTCTCCTCTCGAGCGCTGATGCGACGTCCCTCACGACCTTGACTACTTTGTATTGGAACAGGCCGTCTGATTTACGTACAACCAAGTAGAGTTCTCGTCTCTGAGCGTCAAGTCTTCCCAAACAAGACACATCATCATCTCCCCTCTTCCCCAATCCAGCGCAGCTAGCGGACAGCCAATTATCGGCCCTCTGCTCTCAACGTCGGTTCATGGGTATTACGTCCATCGGTACCAACACCGCTCGACTGTACGCACCATGACGAGATTATTGAGTTCCTGTGACCCACAGCTCTCTTCCAGCGCTCCTATCACCTCCTATCCAACGGCTCAAGGTTACCTTTCCTGTCGCAGGTGCATACCGGCCTGGGAGGGAGAATAGATGCAAGAGCATCGGACCATCTGTGATGAGTCGATGTTGGCAGAACCGGGAACAACCGATGCGATGCGAACATGATATTGACTCTGGGAGACGTCTCTATCCACGACAGCGGAGACCACGTTTACCGGCGAACCTTTCAAGCTGAACCCCGTTGCCTTTGCCAGCCATTTGCGGACATCGCGACCGTTGCCTATCCTTGTCGGGCCACTCTATCTTCATCACTATGCTTTCTCCTAACCGTCGCTCCAAAAACTTGTTTCTGTTACGCCGTGGGTCTGGACGACGTTATCGCCGAGAAGTCTCACATTACACAGGACGCTGGCACACAAGATAAACCGAGAGACTGAGGCCCACAAGAAGGCAGTATTCAGCTGTACATTTCACAAATGTCGTTGACTCCAGACGAATCATGGCTCACGACCTTCCTGGCGAATAGGAATCCCTCCATGTCCGCTTCAACATGTCAGATCCACTTTCCAGAACGTGTCATGGAAGATCTCTGACAATGAGATCGAGCTATAATGTTGCGACATCCAGCGTGGAGGGTCGGCGTGTATCGCGAACCGGTTTCCTGGAAGCGAAAGTGTCTCGCCCCCGAGAACCCATTTATTGACTGTCAAACCGTCGGATGATGAGAGCCGCTGTGGCTGGCTGAGGGAGCTGAGCATCAGCAGCTGTGAGCCAACCAGCTTTGCCTTTACCATCCTTTGCCCGTGCTGTTATGGACCTGCCATAGCATTGGGAACACTTGATTGGTGCACGGGCCACCAGGCTGTCTTTTTCAGGGGCTACCACGGTATCATCCGGTTGGGTTTGCTTGACATGATCGGGCGATGAAAGCGGAGTCACTGTCACCATTTGCGTTCAAGGTAAACGGGGAGCAACTCCACCCGTATCCAATAACAATCGAGGGCACCCATTCCATGTGTTGCGGCCACGAACTGCAGCGGGACAATGCAGTCTATCGGCTTTCCCAACGCTCGAGGATGGGCGCCGAGAGCAACCCTTCAGCACCAGCCACATTTTGACGGCTTGAGGCTGAAGGATGCTAGACTTCAACATACAAAGGAGGTCGTTGGGCGATCGCCGTCATCTACATCACTCTCTCCCCTTCTTCCATTGCTCCGGCAAGTTACCAGCTCCTACCTGCGACTCTGCCATTCCTCCCAAACTTGGGCTCTTCACCCTGATACGATCCATCTTGATGCTCTCGAAGTTATAGTGGCACCAACCACATCCCATCTGCTGTTGGCACGGGGAGTTGTTCTCCAACAATTGTGACGCCCTGTGAGGCTGACACGGTGGTGAACGCCTCTCCAAACCACCCTCGTACCTCAAGTTTAGCTGCGCAATGAGTTGGAATGCCTGGAGATGCTTTACAAGTCTAGGATCACCGGAACTGCCGTGCACCTCTCGTCGACGCCTCCTCACCACCTCGATGTCCCTTCTTCTGGCCGCAACGTCCACGATTTCCTTCCGATCTGCGTTGAGCGATGCTCGAGGACTGCTGGGATAGCAAAGCGCCCTCTGGGGCCTGCGCCTCCGTATACCTCGGGAATACCGCACCCATCTCCACACGAACCTTCGACTGTGTTGACGCCCAAGCGGTCGACCTTACGATGAAACTCAAAGATTGTCTCACACCAACAAAGATGCGACTGCTTACAACGGTCTCGCAGCGGGTACAATATAAGTGTTGAAGTCTATCGCAATGCGCAGGTAGGTGTGAGGATCGCGCAAGTTCCCTTGGATGGGCGATTACACCCCTTTTAGTTCCATAATTCCCGCCCCGAAGAGTTGCATTTGCCTTTTTTTTTTCCAGCTGCAGAACACCGATGTTTTGTGGCTGTACCTCTTCCACCTTGTTTACGCATTGGATCCACCAAGACAGGTAGGCGTGCAGCTCCCCAAAAAGTTTTCTACCCGAACGAGATGTACCACTACGACTCGCTGAAGGTGTTTCTTTTTGACCCACGCGACTGGAGATATCACGCTTTGTTCCTGCCATGAATTCCGATGACTCCTGATGCGCTCCCACATTTACTTTTTGGAGGAGCCTGTTCCGCCTACACCTAGGACTTTGTGTGCATCGACCAAAATATCCGTGTGGTTCAAATGGTTTGTACTGGTTGAGTGGTTTCGAGTTG